TATCGTCTATACTTTTTAGGATTTATCATACATTGTTCAAAGAAAGATGATTTTAAAATTTGCATTAAAGCGTAAGAGATATGGTCTGAATACAAAAAGAATACTACTCTACCTTTGTTTTTGGTCTCTCTATCTAGTATTTAATTTTCCTTTCTGATAAATTCAGAAGCTTAAGATTTTCAGTTTAATATTTTAATTTCCTTACAGCTGTCAATATTCATCAATATTTCCTTTCGTAATTAATTGTACGTATTTTAGTCTTACTTATGCATCGTTAAGAAACGATGGACAGGTTTAATTTTATTACTCATTTACATTTTTTCTGAAAATTTAGAAGATTTTTAAAGCATTTCTTTCTTTGGCGACTAACAGCCATGCGCTTAAACAGTAAAATCTCTTTGCCTCAGCGTAAATTCTCACAGCCTTATCTAAAGTGCTGGTTTAGCAACCAATGAAATGCAAGTATAAAAAAACATTTTTGAATAATTATCTAGAAAAATTGAGCCAATTTGCAAATAAAAATTTTTTTTTCGAAAAAAATTAATTAATTAAAAAAAAAAAAAAAACACTCTCTGTAACTTTTTAGATATTTTTTTAATGATTTCATAATGATTTTAACAGAGAAATTTTTGCTCCAGAACTTTATTTGCTATAGGTTGAAAAGGAAGATATTTAGAAGACCGTCATGTTTAACTTACTTTCACCTCTCTATCCCTCTGCTTAGGATATTTTTTCTGTGGTGAATCCCTCAATATCCATTCAGATCAATGACATTTCATGTTACAGAGTTATATTTCTTTCGGAAAAAATATGGTTACTATTCGGTTTTCGAGGCCGTAAAAAATCGCCAACTATTGTTGATGCAATGCTGCCAAAATTGCGGCAAGAAAGGAAGTATAATAGTAAATAACATCTAAGATTAATTTTTAATTTAGATGAATGTTTTTAAATGAAAGGGTTATTTCATATAATACTTTTTTATTATTATAATTTATATGAAAAAGGTAAACTAACTGAATGAAAGCATAAGGGTAATAATATTTCAATCATTATTATAATTTATATAAAATTGCTAACCTAACTGAATGGATGCTGCATCACTACTTTTTACCTCTTATACACAATAATTTCATCTCATTGTTGTTCCAACGTAATTTTCTAAATGATAATGCCTTTCTTTAAAATTCTCGGTAAAGCGCACATCGCTCATTTATTTGTTTGGCCACTTTACAAGGTAAAAATAATTGGATTTTGTCAATTTCCTTTTTTTTAAGTGAAAATAGGTCGATGTGTACATGGATAAAATCAAGGGTGTGCACGATGCCAAGTTTGTGCAATTCTCTGATGTTTTTTTAAGTGAAAATAGGTTGATGTGCACATGGATACCGAGTATGTCATTTTAAAACGCGTCAAGCAGTGGGTGATTCTGCACTTTACCCAAAATTCTACTGTCGACTTTTCGTCATGGTCAATTCCCAAATTGTTAAATCCATAGGATATCAAAAGATTTAAAATGAAAAACTGATTTAAAAATTAAACTATTATTTCAATGGCATCTTAAGAAATATAGAACTATATAAACTTATGCAATATGAAATCAGTGCGTACGCTAGATTTGGCACGCTGTTTTTAAATGGGCGCGTTTGCTAGATTTGCCGCTTCGCGCATACATTTTCGCTGCAATTTTTTTACGGCCCTCAAAACAGAATAGTACCAAAAATATTAAATATTTTTCAAGTTTTACATTATTGAAATATTTTAAAAATATAAATTTGTTTTAACATGTAAAAAACATGATAGTTGAATTTTAAAATATTTGAATGGTGCTGCCACTAGTAACAGCAATTCCTAATGCGTGGTGGAGTGTATTGGTCCCAGCTTTTAATTTCAACCATTTTTAATTAATATTATGAATTCAAATAATATTTTATTAGAAAAGGAAACTTTTACATAAAAATATTATTCATCTAAACACCAAAAGCTGTTGTTCAGACAATTTAAATTGCATTAGAAATTAAGGAAAAAAAAACTGCTTCAAATTTAGACCTGCAAAGAATTTTATTTTACTTATTTCCATGAATGAATACTGGTGCTGCCATCTGTTATACATTTAGAGAACTAAAAGGCATAATTGTATGTATTTTAAATGCAATTTCGCAGCTTTTATCTGGAAGATAAAAACTGATAAAAAGGGTGGGATGTCTGGTGCCCCACTGCCCACCAAAGGGTTAAGGTGTATTGGATTGTTTACTCAAAGAAAGAGGAAATGTAATTCTTGCAGAGAAAACTAATTTTCTGTTCTTCTGTATTATATTGTTTCTAAATAGCATCTAAGTAGCCTATGATAGGCATGCAGTATGCATTGCTAATAGTTTATTTGTGTGCTGTACCATGCTGTAGGTGTGCAAATTTCCAGTCTGTTGGATGCTTCTTCCATAGCACTGAAGTTTTAATGGCATCAGTGTATTTTCCCCCTATTTTTGAATTTCTGTATAATTATTATGTTTTATTTCATGAAACATATTATCATTTACAGCTATTAATAGTAACTTTGATACAATTTAATAATATGGAATTTGAAAAAAAAAGTTAAATTTATAATATTACAAAATAATGACTATTGGAATTACCAAAATTTTCAAAATTGTGTTTTCAAAATGAATAACATAAGTATGTTCAATTCTAAAAATATTCATTTCACAAATACCTTATACAGTCAAAAGTCGTTAATCCGGACTCGTCGGGACTTCGGCGATTCCGGATTATCGATTTTCCGGATTATAGATCATCAGTTTAAATCTCGTAAGATGGCATGCAGAAATTATAAAATTAAAAATATGAAACCGTAATTTATGAAATAAAGAACAATGATCTAAAGGGTATCAAAATTTGCAAAAAGAAAAGCTTAATATTTATTTGTTTACTTTATTAAACATTTCTTTCAATGTAAGTTGTTTAAGTTTTTGCTTCGTTTCATGTGATAATACTTTCTCTTTAATTTCTATTAAACAGACATAATTTCTTGTTCAGTTACAAAGTTACGCTGTTCAAGTCCTATAATTGCTGTGTCGAGAACACCGCTAATTTGTCAATCGAAATTTTTTCGTTTTCACTAACCTCTGTTACTTTACTTTCTTCGCTATCGAAAGCGAATTATAATGACGAGGAACTTGTTTTAAATCATATCAATACGGAGCATATCGAGATGAATACTACATTTGTAAGGAATTATAAGCCAAATAAAATAAAAACATCTGCGCTGAAGATAAAGATAGTGTTGACAGATCAACTTCCAATTCATTACGCGCCCCGCCGCGCGGCGATCCCCCCGCCGAGCAGCGTGAAATTGATAAACAGATTTCGGATTTCAAAAACATACTTTCGCTTTAGATCCTTTACCTATTAACAAATATATATCGGAAATTCTATTTGATATGATCGAAAGTTTAAGCTTACTTTTATAAAATTGCTCTTACAGTCTGCAAAAAATAATAAGCCAGATCCAATTCGAAATTAAGGAACAACGCAATCATCAACATTAACTGAAATAGATAATTAGACAATTTTAGCTTATACGTCCATTATAATAAAACGCGCACGCGAAAACGTATTCTGCACTTGCGCACACTCATATGCGCAGTCGTAAAGGTCTTACGCGCACGCGTAAACGCCTATGCGCATGTGTCAACGCGGCGCATGCGCAGAAAGTTTTTAGTTTGAGGTCCGGATTATAGATCATTCCGAATTATGGGTGTCCGAATTAACGACTTTTGACTGTATACAAGATTAATCAAAAACGAACCAGACAAAATTTTGAAAAACTTATCTTAATAAAATCTTATGCCCATTCCCCTTTTGCATTCAGTGATTAATTCCATCCATTACAACATAACTGTTTTGTTTCCTTGGAAGCTTTTTAAAAAATATGTTTAGCATCTTCTGCAATCTCACTTGAATTTTCCTTCAAAACATTTTTTCCATAACTAAGTTAAAATACACTGATGCGTTGAGAATTCTCCAAAGGTATGTTGCAAAAGTTCAGACTGAGGGGAAAAGAAAAAAACATTCTATACACCATCCAAATAAAGATTTTAAGATTTTAAAAAAATTCTTAGCGTAAAAAATATATTTCTTTAAATTGGACCTGGCAATGGTCCAGATGGTTTAGGTTTAATGACTTCTCTATGCTTGGAATTTTCACATTTTTGAATATGTCATAAGGTTTCCAATATGTTTCCCTCCTTCCAGCATGCCATCGTGGTGTTACAGTTGCACACTCGGTGTATATTTGAGATGTCCAAGTTTGAGTCCCAGATAGGGCATTGCTCATATTTCACGTCTTTAGCATCGAAAACCCTAATGCTTCTACAGTGGCACCTAAACTAAAAGGTAGTGGGCCATACTTTGTTATCACCAGGCAACTGGGTCCCCTAAACCCCAGTTGCCCTTTAAAAGGAGGAGTATGTAAGGTATTTTCTCCCTCTTTCTAGCATGACCTCAAGGTGTAATGGTAGCACACTTGATGCATATTCAACAGCTCCACATTTCACTCCTGGCAAGGGATTCTCATTTTTACAACATTTAAAAAAAAAAAAAAAAAAAAAACCAATAATTAACAGTTGAAAAATCTCTAAGCAAGTCTGCCATGCATTTTATTATTATTTTATTATTTTTTTTTTTTTTTTTTTTTTTTTTTTTTTTTTTTGCCTAAGAAAAACAGTTTGCAAAATTTTTAAGGAAGAACTTTCATATTTTATAAATCTCAAAATTATAAATTTTAACTCTTTTAAACATAACTAAATCTAAATTGTCAGATCCATTAAAATCTATATTTTTTAAATATCAATGACTGGTGAAATAAAATACTGATAGTGTGAATTAGGCAGTTATTTTTTAAGTCTTCAAGTATAAAGTTTTTCATACAATAATAATACTTATTAGCATAATTTATAAAGATTTTCATTAATATATATTAATATTAATTTCTATTTTTTATATGCAGCTTCAAGGAATGCAAAAGGTATGTTTTTTCCTCGGTCTTTTAAAAATAATTCTTCTATTTTTAAATAGGTATACCTTAAATGCAGTTACATCTGATTTACATGGATATATTTAAATTTACTGTACATTATTGTTTCTCATTTTTATTTTACAGATGGTCCATGGGAATTTGGATTTGAAGTGAAGTTCTATCCACCAGATCCTTCTCAATTGCAAGAAGATATAACTAGGTAATAAAATTTTACATTTGGTTACTTTTATAAAATTCAGAGTTTTTGTGAAAATAAATTTTCGTTTGAGCTCAATATTTCTCTTACACAAACTATAGGAAAAGTTACTCTTTTTTTGAGTAATAGATCTTTATATTAAAATAAGAAAAAAAAACAGCATTAATATCTTTAAAAATATTTACATTTTTTTTTCCAGGTATCAGTTATGCTTGCAAATTTGCAATGATGTTCTTTCAGAAAAGTAAGTTTTTATTTTCTATTCAAGATTTTCTCTTTTTTTTTTTTTTTTTTCTCAGGTTTTTTACATAATTATGTACAACCCCGCAATAACAACCCCCTGAACATAATGCACAATTTTTTTGGTTTAGGTAAAAATAACATGCCGTACAAATATTAATTTAGAAGTCAAACAACGAAAATCAGTGTTATATTTTCAAATTTTCACTATATATATACAAATAATGCCAAATTTTCAAATATAAAGCTGATTTTTGTTGTTTGACCTCTAAATTAATATTTGTTCAACATGTTATTTTCACCTAAATTATAGGAGCCCCAAACAGGCTTATTTTTTGCTTCAATGTGAGAAGTTTTTGGTCAAGTTTTCCTACACTTAATATTATTTTATACTGTTACAATGAACCTCCAAGAGCATGAAAATCAAATCAAATTACTAACCTTAAAATTATCTATGTCTACAATATTAAGATCCATATTCTATCCACCCACTTTTCTCTCTGTTCTAAACAAA